CTTTTTTCATTCTCGGCAGCTCTGAAGTGCAAAAACAGCACCGCAGGGAGGCTGAGATGGGCGGCGAAGGAACTCCTCAGCTCCTCCAGCGCCCTGCACCGGGGGCCACAGCCTCACTCGGTCCCGCGTACGGCTTACAGACTGGGCTGCCCCGACGCGCTCGCAGCGCCAGCACCCCGCGCTCTCTGGCCAGCGTGGCCGTGTCACCAGAGCTCCTGACCGGGGCAGGGAGGATGCGGTGAGGAAGCCCGGCCGCCCCGCTCTCACCCTGCGTGCCCACCAGCACCATCGGCACCTCCGCTGTGTTCCGGTAGCTGCAGAGCCGCAGGGAGTAGTTGTAGACTGTCTGGAAGCTGATCTCGTCCTCCAGGCTGAAGACAAACACCACAGCATCGCCCCAGGCAGCAAACTGAGGGAGACAGAGCGGTTGTTACAGCCCCGACAAGCGTCCCGGAGCCCCGTGCCCGGAGCCGCCGGCAGGGGCAGCCGCACGGCCGAGCTCAGGCCCTGTGGCACAACTCCCCGGCACCGCGGGGAGGCCCAGGTCAACGGTCACCATAGCAGTAGCCCCTCCTCGGGCCTCGCAGTCCTCGTGTCCTCCCATGACCGGGTGCCCCAGGAGGCAGCCAGGCAGGTCCCCCCCGGAGCCCTCCCATCCCCCCGGGGCAGCACGGGGTGGGACGGGGCCGCGGGAGGTAGGGATCTCCTACCTGGAGTTCGGGGGGACCCCCTTCATCTCGAATCAGCAGCAAGTAACTCTGACCATCCACCACGATCTCCTTCTTAAATCGGCCACCTTGGGAGGAGAGCAGAGCAGCGGGTCAAGCGAGGGGGGAGCGCGCAGGGGCAGCCCCTAACGAAGGCCACGGGAGGCTGCAGGGCCCTGCGGCGGCGGCAGGCGAGGTGCAGAGACACCGGTCACCTTTGGAGCCGGGGAGCAGCGTGGACCCAGACCACCCCCAGGCGCCCTGGAAACCAGACCTTACCCTCGGGAGACTCCTCCTGCACGTAGGTGCCGGTCAGGTAGCGGTGCACAAGGGCCGACTTGCCGCTGGACAGGTTCCCCACGATGCCCTGAAACAGAGGGGCGCATCACCCACCGCCCGCCAGCCCAGCACACCTCCCCTGGCACGAGGCCGCCCCGAGGGGCGACACCACCAGGAACCAACCGGGCACGTGCCGATGGCGGGCAGCGACGGTCGTGAGAGGGCACAGGGGACGGCACAACCCGGCCGGCACTCGGCGAGAAGCCTGGGGGCGTTTACTGGTCTCAGTGGGGCAGAGAGCAGCGGGTACTGGGGCGCAGCCACGCATACGGGGGGCGGTGAGGACCCTCGTCCTCCCCCACGCAGACACAGCCCCACAGCCCCACTGCTCCCGGAGGACGCTTGCCCACCCAAGCCACAGTCAACTGCGACGATCAAACCCCTCTTCTCCCAGCCCACACCCCCCAGATTTTGGGGTGTTTAGAGCTCCTGACAGCACCCGCCGGACGGGGAACGAGAGCAGAGACTGTCCCCGCGATCGGTACAGCTGCGGCTTCCGACACCGGCAGCAGTGCCCAGCGCCGGCTCCTCGCTGCGGCAGCGCGCAGGTTCCCCGGTGCAGCCGGCTGTGCTGCCTACGCAGCAAGACACCCAGCACCAACTGTTAACCGAGCTGGAAAATAGACATACCTAGCACCGATTTTTAACCAAGTTAAAAACCAGAGATACCTAGCACTAATTTTTAACTGCACTGACACACACCGGGCTGGGGGTCTGTTACTCTGCATCACCCTACAAAATGAACGCAGCTGTCCCAGGATGGGTCAGGCAGACAACCCAGTTCTTCCTCATGTCACCATGTCCCCAGTGATTTCAGAACACCTCCCGTGCCTGAGGGCTGGCGCGTGCGCTCGCCCGCTGGTGGGAGAGCAGTGCTGGGGCAAAGGGGCCTCTGCTGCCGTCCTTGCCAAACACGCAGTTCCGACTGCTCCGCGCGTACCCCACAGCTGCTCCCCACAGCCACGGGGACAGCGCAGCTCACGGAGGGGGCTCCCGCCTCGCTGAGCATCCCGCCTCCTGCTCCTCCAGCCTCAGCCGCAGCGTCGCTCTGACGGAGCTGCAGCAGAAGCGCCGCGGCGATGCAGCGGCGCACTTGGCCCGTGCTCTTCTGCCACCTCCCGACACCCCAGGCCTGCGCAGAGGTGCTCTCGGCCAGAAGAGCCGCTCCCAACTCGCTCCTTACACAGCCCTGAGCACCTCAAACCCCTCTTGGTGACGAAGGCGGGCAAGCTCCTACCAGCCGTTCCCCGTGCAGAACCCAGGACGCCATCCCGGGGCCACAGCTCACCGCAGCTGGGCAGAGCGAGCTCCCAGCCCTCTTCCACACCGCTTCCCAAAAAGCACTTCACCTACCTTCAGCTTCAGATGGTCTGACCTTACCACGGGTCTTCCCGGACACAACCAGCTCCTCCTTTCGGGCACCCTACGCCTCCTCCCGTGTCTAAGCCACACTCCCAGTGCTCCCATGAAGAGGTCCTTGGGGCAGGTGTCCAACACACCGACATGGCCACTCGGACACCCGCCCGCGCTGTCTGGGGGTTCTCCACTACCACAGGTCCACTCTGCCGCACCGAACACACGACTGAAACGGACTTCTTGTTGCCCACTGTACCATCCACCCAAACGCTTTAGTAGGCGTCCTCCTTCTCTGTGCCCAAGATCAGCCCGCACAGACTGCGCGGACCTGCTGTTTCACTGGGATTTCACGGCTGGTACATCTACCAGACAGAAGCCACCAGAGACGTCCCTGTGCAGACCTCCCAACGCAGCTGCTGTGCTTCTGGAAATCCAACATCCCCTGCATGTCCACAGCTGCTTCACAGCAAAGGCTCAGTGACACTAAAGCGCGCGGCAGCGCACCACTGGTCATGTGCCCTTCCTAAACCCACCGCTGGACCAGACCACAGGATTCACCGGGCACGTGTGGAGCACCCGCATTTGCTGGAAATACCAGAGTCTCCGCAGAGGTGCTGCACAGATGCGGTTGGTGTATTTCTATATTTCTAAGGAAGAAACTTAGCACTGAAAAGCTAATAGTGCTCATGAACACGGCACATACCCTTACAAGAAACGAAATCAAACTCCCAAGTCCCACCACGTGTCTCTGAGTCTCACCTGGGTATGGGAAACGGGCACAAGGCACGGCGGAGGCAGAGCTCTCCGCTTGTCTGCTGTCACGGGAGAACCCTCATCGCGGGCTCCAGCCAGCCGATCTCCTGGAAGCGCGGCACGGCACCGCCGGCAGAGCCCGTGCAGCTGCGTGAGGACCGGCTCCCTCCCGAGCTCCATGCCCTCACCCGTCCACGGCGCACCTGAGCCCCTCCGAGCGCCAGGAATGCAATGCTGCGCGCTCAGCCCAGGGCACGCAGCGCCCCAAGAGACCCAAGTCCTGCGCGTGGGGGCCGGGGGTGGCTGTGCCACCTCCCGCACCTCAGCTGCCGGAGCAGGTCTGCGGTACGGCCGCACACAGCCCCGCCAGCGCCGAAAGGAGCGGGGGAGAGGGGAGAGGAGTGTGGGAACACCAGAGCTGCCTCTGCCCCCACGGGGAGGGGCATGGCCGACCTCTTCCAGGCAAGGGGACGAGCTCGGTGAGTGAGTCACCACCCGGCAGGTTCTCCAGCCTTCAGCCCGGTGCTGGAAAGCTCCGGCTGCCCCGGGTCCTGCCCCGGGCCACCCGCACGCTCCTGGCGAGAGGCGAAGCCACGCCAG